GGGATCCTGGTGAGCGGGGTGGGGCCCTGCACCCCTCAGCTGCACCCGGGGAAGGGGTGAGGGGGAGACCCAGAGGGGCTGGGGGCTGCGTTTGGGTGGAGGACAGGAGATGGGGTGGGTGGAGGAGTGGGTACCCCCAGGCTGGAGACCCCCCCCATCTAGCACTGAGCCCATCCATGGGGGGTGAGAACCTCAAATAAATGAGCAACTGGAGGGAACTGGTGTCAAACTGGGATTGAAAAGCTGGATTGACTGAGGTACCTCCATCAGAAAGGACCCCGGTTCCCCCAGCGAGGGGATGAGGAACATCATATTGAGCTTCAATGGGAAAAGCAGCTTCGAGATGTCCTCAGTGAGGCTGCTCCCCCCCAGAAAGCACGTGAGAAGGGTGGGGGGGACAGCTGCAAGCACAGGACAGGATTGGGGAACCCCTGTCCCCCCTCACCCCACCAGCACTCAGTCCCTGAGGTGCCCCATCCTTCCTTCTCCACAGGCTTTGGGGGGTGGGTACCTCCACTGGGGTCACTTTGAGATGATCCGTTTGACCATCGGCCGTTGCATGGACCCCAAAACCATGTTTGCCATCTGGAGGGTACCAGCCCCCTACAAACCAGTGACACGGAAGAGCTTGGGACACCGCATGGGAGGTGGCAAAGGCCCCATCGACCACTACGTGACGGCGGTGAAGAGCGGGAGGCTGGTGGTGGAAGTAGGTGGACGTTGTGAGTTTGAGGAGGTGAAACCTTTCCTCACACAAGTGGCCAAGAAATTACCCTTCCCTGCCATCCCCGTCAGCCGTGACAGCCTCCAGCAGATGAGGCAGGAGGAGGAGGAGAAGAGACTCAACAACCAGAACCCCTGGACCTTCGAACGTGTGGTCACTGCCAACATGTTGGGGATGCGAAAGTATCTCAGCCCTTATGACCTGAAGCTGAAGGGACGTTACTGGGGCAAATTCTTCTTGAAACACAGAGTGTAACGAGCAACTGGGGCTGGGGACACCTTAATTAAACCTTCCCACCAGAAGTTGTGGTGGCCACCGTGGTTTTTGGAGGTGGAAATACAAAGGGTGGGTTTGTTCAACCAAAGGACAAGGGACAGGACAAGAGGAAATGGGCTCCAGTTGTGGCCAGGGCAGTTGAGATGGGATGTGAGGAAGAATTTCTTTGCTGCAAGGGTTCTGAGGCATTGGAAGGGGTTGCCCAGGGCAGTGGTGGAGTCCCCATCCCTGGAGGGATTGAAGAGTCGTGTAGACACAGTGCTGAGGGACATGGGTTAGTCATAGGGGACTGGTCAGTGTTGGGTTCATGGTTGGACTCCATGAGCTTCAAGGGCTTTTCCAACCCAAACCATGCTGTGATTCTATCCCAGAGGTGACCCATGGCTCAGGGCTCATCTCCCACCTCTGAGACCCCCCCAGCTCCCTGACAGCACCCCAAGGCAGAGTGTGGGTGATCTCTTTATTCAGGGGGGCTCCGGCGCGGGTGGCTGCACATCTGAAGAGCCGGTGAGACGGAGAAGTCGCTGCAGACCGAGCTCTGAGCGAGGGGAGAGGTTCCTCCTTCCACCCCGAGCGAGGCAGATCCCCCCACCCTGCCCAAAACCAGCTCCTCAGCCCGCTCGGTGCCACCGAGGAGGGGGCTGCTCTGTGCTGACCCTTGGCCAAACGGAGGAT